TTGAGAAGGTCGCCAGATTATAACCTTCATCGATTTACATGAAAGTTTTTAAATTGTAACTTTTTGTTAGTCGTCAAATTATAATTTTTATCATCGGTGTTTGATGGGGATCAGCTATCTATAATAATTTTTAGACAGCCTACAGAAGTGTTGGTCGGTTGGTTTACACTCATCCTTGTGAAAGATTTTATCTCCATTTATTCCTAAATGTAGTGAGAGGTCCTACAAGCTATGTTGAAATAAAAACCAAAGATGGAATTCAGTATGGAATCTTTAAAGAGACATGTGTTGTTCTAAGATTGTTGGATGATGACAACCAATGGCAATTAGTCATAGGGGAAGCATCTTATTTTTCCTCAGGGAGACAAATGAGACATTTATTTGCACAAATCCTATTGTTTTGTGAAATTATCAATCCTAAAAAACTATATGAAGATAATTGGGTGTATTTATTAGAGGGTATTCTTGATGCCCAAATTAATCTACTACAATACCCAAATTTAAAAATGATAGAAAATCAATTGCAAAGCCATGCATTGGCAGAAATACAATATCTCCTACTACAAAATGGTCAATGTCTTCATCAATTGCAAAGCCATGCATTGGCAGAAATACAATATCTCCTACTACAAAATGGTCAATGTCTTCAGAAGTTTCAAGGTATGCCACTTCACAATATCTCCTACTACAAAATGGTCAATGTCTTCAGAAGTTTCAAGGTATGCCACTTCCTGATCCAGTACTAATGCAACAATGTAAGGAGAAGATTATAAGTGAAGAGTTTAACTATGATAGAGAGGAATTGAAAAGGGAGCATGAACAGTTGTTTCATAGTCTCAATGAGAAGCCAAAAAAAATTATGATGCTGTAATTCACTCTATGTATAGTAAAACATGAGGATTTTACTTTCTCTTCGAACATGGTGGGACAGGAAAGACTTATGTTTGGAAGTCAATTATCACTAGTCTTAGATCCGAGAAAAAAATAGTACTCGCAGGGGCATCATCGGGTATTGCTGCTCTTTTTTTACCTAGAGGGAGAACAACACATTCAAGGTTCCAGATTCTAATTAAACTAAAAGAAACATCTGCATGTGGTATTAAACAAGGAACACCTAAAGCAAATTTGCTAAAACAAACAACTTTAATACTTTGGGATGAGGCATCAATGATGCATAGACATTCATTTGAAGCAGTGGGTAGAACTTTGAAAGATATATTGGACAAAGACAATCCTTCATTGTTAGAGAAACCATTCGGAGGCTTGATTGTGGTGCTTGGGGGTGATTTTAGATAAATTTTGCGAGTTATTCCAGGAGGTAGTAAACATGATATTATTCAGACTTACATTAGCCGATCCAAACTTTGGAGTGAATGCAAAATATACAAATTGATAAAGAATATGAGAATTCAACAAAGTTCATCAAATGAGAACGAAATGAGCATACCAGAATTTTGTAGATGGGTTCTAAATATTGGAAATGGCAATGATAAAGAAGATGGTGCGAATTGCAAAATATGGATGGAACTATTGATATTCCACACGAGTTTATCCTTCATTCAACTAAAAATCCAATTGAGGATATTATTTTATCTACATACCAAAACATAGATGAAAACTTTCAAAACCCCAACATATCTAGAAGAAAGAGCAATATTAACACCAAGGAATGAAACTATAGATATTGTGAACAATACAATCTTAGAAAAAATTGAGGGACAAATTTTAGTTTATCTTAGTTCTGATTCCCTTTGCCCAACATCTCCTAACATGCAAGAAAACGGGGTCAACTTTCCTAATGAGTACCCGAATTCGGTAAAATTTCTAAGAATGCCAAACCACGAGATAAAGCTTAAAGTCGGGACACCTATCATGCTTCTACGCAACTTGAGTCCAACTGAAAGGTTATGCAACGGGACGCGGTTGATCGTCGCTCAATTGCTAAAATGGGTGATTGAGGTCAAAATTATAACTAGAAGCAACATTGGATCAAAACATTTTATCTCAAGAACCGTAACAACAAATACGGATTCAAAGTCGACATTTCGCATGAAAAGAAGATAATTACCTATTAGACCATGTTATGCAATGACCATAAATAAAAGCCAGGGTCAAACACTACAACATGTTGATCTGTATCTATCAAAACCTATTTTCACACATGGTCAACTATATGTTGCTATTTCAAGAGTGACATCACCAAAAGGTTTAAAAATTCTCATTGAAAATAGTGAGATGAACACTAAAAGTGTAACAGAGAATGCAGTGTACAGAGAAATATTCAACAACTTAGTAGAAGGCATATCATATATATCTTTATTGTTATCTATAATATAACTGCATTACACCTTTATTCATTTCATTAGTTTCATTCATACTGATTCATTGACAATTTAAGTGGGATATTAAAGCATAAATATTTAATGAAATTATATGTGCAGGTGAAGGACAAGACGAATGAGTATTTCCAAATACATAGCGATAAAGGATCTGAACACGAGAGTAAAAGAACCAGTCATTAAAGCTCGAGTGACAAGCATATGTTATAATATAAATGTCATATCACTTCAAAATTATGGACTGCTACTTACTCTTCTGGATGAAAGTCTAAAACAGATTTACATTCCTCCTGAAAACTTTTTATACAAAAGGATCTCTTATAGTTATATAAAATCAATATCTACATACTATATCAAGATCTATATATTTTTGAAATGAGACACTTATTTTGAATTTTGACAGGATACACACATTCACGGTAGCATTAAAACAACTGAGATGTTAATGTTTCAACCAATAATAGAGGAAGGGAGGATACATGTCATCTCTATGTTCAAAGTTATGAATTCCTTTGGTAATTATAGGGCAACTGAGAATAAATTCTCAATATGTTTTTGTCATATGACACAAGTTCAAGTACTACAAGAAGATCATGACAATATCCCTAGGTACAAGTTCAACTATAAACCATTCAATGAGCTGTATAGAATGAAAGGAAACAAGACTTATTTGGCAGGTAAGCTTTTATTATAATTTTATAATATACATTTTTGTATCATGATAAAGTTCAATACAGATTACGTAACAAACCTAATATAACTTGTCTATTATGTTTGCTTATTTCAAATTCAATACAGATATAATTGGATTTGTAAAATATATATATCCCTTAGAGCAAAGTATCATTTCTGGAGAGCCAGGGACTAGTAGAGCCTTGAAACTAATCGATGAAGAGTGAGAGTTATCTTATACGTCACCTAATCCAAATGTTAATTGCAATTACTTATGTTTGATCCTAAAACTTAGTATCTTTTATACAAATCAGAAACATAGAATGCATTGTTACTTTATGGAACCAAATTGCTACAAATCTAGAGAGCGCGCTGAAAGATCAAGATCCAAACAACATGGTTATGATGGTCAGTGGAATATTTGTTACTAATTTTAGAGATAAGATGAACAATTATACATATCATAATAATTGGTTTCATCAATACATAAGTAAAGACGATATTTTACGCATAACTTTGCACATAAAATTTCAGGCAATAATACTGTGTCATCAAGCACGGTAACCAAAATCTACGTGAACATACCTGAACAAAGAGTACTGGAATTATCTCAGAGGTAATTTTAGTATTTTTATATTTTGACGTACGTAATTAAATTATATGTACTAACATGAATTTTCGTGCATATATACATAGGTACATAGAGTCAGAAACACAAATGCAGCTAATAGACACCAATTAATTACAAATCAAAGTAGAAATTGCTCGAAATACAATCTGCATCTTTGAGTGATCTTATTTTATTTAATGATCTAGAAACCGCGGAGGTAATAAAGTTCTTAAAAGATGTCCCATCAGTTATGCAGACTTATTATATGTTCTATAGCTAATGTTCATCTTTGTAATTTTAAGGAATGCTTCTTTATATGCAATGTGAGAATCAATACTATAATGGCATTATAACTAAAAATGGCGCTATCACGGATGTCCATATTGTTATAAAAAAACAATTGATGCAGGAGATACCTTCTGGCGCACAAAGTGTGACAGAGAGGTATTTGCAGAAAATAGGTATGTAAAAATTTACAATATGATCCACAAATACATACCACAAAATGATTTTGATGGTCAATGTTTTGAAAAATAATAATAATACAGGTATAGGATAACTATGGAAGTTCAAGATGAATCTGCGAAAACTACTTTTGTTGTTATGAACAAGGAAGCTGAAAAATTAGCGAAAATACTAGCTCAAGAGGTTGCGCGAACAATAAAATATGTGAGTACATATTCCTCTTAAGTATTTTGATACAATTTACAATTATTTAAAACGCATTTAGTACGTGCCTAAAAAAGTATGATTCATTGCTCGGGCTAATGATAGAGAAGTTTTTCCAGAAGTGATAAAAGTCATATTTGGAAAATGTATTAAAGTTCAGGTAAAACTAACACGATATAATTTCGTGGAAGGTAATGAAGGTTTCACAATAACCAAAGTAATAGAAGAAACTTCAGACAGTTCAGGGGCAATTGATTCTAGCTGTACAAGTCAAGTAACAATTTTCAACATAGTATTTATATAACAACTTTGTAAAGCATGTATCTATAAACTTACCTCTTTACATATATCCATATATATAAAGGAATCTGAAGATGCATCGATCATTACTTTACTTGAGGATGCGCCTCTACCAACTCCGCAACCAATAGCAACTGGTAAATCTGTAGTCACACCTATGCCTGCATCATTATTGAATATAAAATTAGAGAAAGTTTACAACAGATCACCTTTGAAAATAGTAAACATGGATGAAGTATCAAACGAGCAGAAAGCAAGTTCATCTAAAATACATCAAGTGCAAGGTGATGTCAACTTAATGTATCATTATAATTATTACAATATAATGTAATCCAAAAGCTTACGATAAGTGCAGAGCCAATGCCTAAGTATTAAAACTATTAAGTTATTAAATTCTTTTTTATATGCAGATAACAAGAGGAAGCGAAGTAACAAAGCAAAAGGGAAAGAGGAACCTTGGCAACTGTAATATTTTGTATCTTGAAACTCTTATATGTTTTTGGGCCGTGACATTAGAAGGATCAAAACCTACTCAACAAAAAAAGAACCTTGTCAGATAACAACCAGTGATGTTTCTATTTGCCATCTATATTACTAATGCGTGTGACTTATTTATATATGTTTTTAGAAAGCAGATAGTTCAAGGTTCGTTACTTCGACATCAATTCAAACAATCTAACAAAGCAATCCTCTAACAAAGCTATCCGATGTAAACATAGCTGGTTTATTAGTTCATAAAGTTCATCATCAGAATCTCACAATCAGGTACATTATACTCTTGACTTCTTTCAAGAATCATCTCCCCCCGCAACATGGTTCTAAACATCAGCGTACAGTGCATGCGTTTCTGGAAAAGATGAACCGAAAAGCTAATCTATTGGTCATTTGATTTCTCACCGACCAGTCTCAATACTATTAACTGCCACCTATATAGACCATTATCCTTCTACTTAAGTCCCTACTTAAAGTAACTCAACAGATGATTATGGCTGTAGTTCATAAGAGTACAGGAAATAATTAAGCAAAGAACGCAGAAGACAAATAACAAGACGGATTTACGAGGTTCGATGCAAAGGCTGCCATGGATTCAGCAACAAGAAGCTCTCTATCTCTCACTATGCTCCTTCTCACAGCCCTCAACTCTCAATTAAATCATAAAATATAATAGATAGATATACTTGATTTCACCTCGAACAGTAGACATCAACCTCTCCAAAATGATGCAAGTCTAGATCCCGTCGACTCTGGTGGAATTTGAAGAATACAACTCTCTATACAAATGAAACTTTTATTGATAAAACACTAGAGAGTACAATACTTGTTCTTACAAGAACACCTCACTTCCACACAACCGTTTATTTTGGTGGACACTCACACAAGGCTACACTACACACTCAAGCTCTCAAGCTCACTTCTTGCTTGCTTGCTTGCCCAAATGAGAGCTCAAGACCTCTATTTATAGTTGTTTAAGAGGGTTAGGAAGTGTGTGGAAGAATTAATCCTAGCCATACATTATTACCACATTCTACACACTTCTCCTAAAAGATCTTCTTTCTACATCCTTCTACAATTTTCTATTAAAAATATATTTCTTCCACATTGTTGAGAAGCTTTCATTGTCTTGGGCTTAGATGAAATGGATTTGGACTTTTATTTTTCTTGGGCTGAAAATAGATTGGGCTTTGAAATAGGTTGGTGTTGATCTTCAACACTCCCTCTCAACACCAGCTTTCATTTCTCACAAGTCCAAGATTCTTCTTTAAGCTTTAAAAATGTTTCTGTCTTCAGTGTCTTGGTGAAGATGTCAGCGATTTGGTCTTCAGACTTGCAATATGTCAGCATCACAGTCTTCTTTTTAACTGGAGACTCTGATCTGAAAGGGGACCTTCTTGTCTATGGAAAGAGTCAAGAGGGTCAGATGGACATTTTTTGTTGACCCACTGTCAATTGAAACTGATCAGTGAGGGATTTTGGTGGAGACAATGATTTTGGGTTATCCTCTAAGATGTCAGCGATTTGGTCTTCAGACTTGCAATATGTCAGCATCACAGTCTTCTTTTTAACTTGATGTTGGATGAAATGATATCTTGTTGTTTTGTGGAAAAATTTGTAATAAGAAAAATAAAAGAATTGAATTTGATTTACTCTTTCTAACTGCTTAAAAAAAGAATGTTTATAACTCTCTCAATCTCTAACTGATTATAATTTGAATTTCTGATTACAAAAGAGAAGAAGATCGACGGAGATCTTCTCCTTTGTTTAAGTCTAGGTTCTTCACGATAGCGATGGAATGTCTCCCTCAAATGCTCGTGTCGAGCTTGCTTTTCATTGATGATCCGACGTTTCGTTTACTAGAACGAGCTCTTCTCCTCACGATTTGACGCTGTGGAGAACTTGAAAAGTATGTTTAAAATTAACTCTTGATGAGTTGATAACTCTGAACGAGTTTAAAACTATATGAAAGAGTTGATTTAACCAAAATCGGTTTATAAACCAAGGATGAAGAAAGATCCTATTGTCGATCTTCAAAGTTCCAGCAATTCCCCCAAAAAGTCATCCCCGAACTCAGTTGAGTTAACCCATATTTATAGAGGTTTTAAGGGTGTAACCGCCCCCTAAAATCTCTCCTTAATTGGGTGTAACCGACCCTATTTCGTGGAAAATGGTTCTGAAACCGTTCAGGGGTTTAAGGGGTGTAACCACCCTTTAAAATCTCTCCTTGGTGGAGTTATAATCCCCTCAGATCGTGGGAAACGGTTTTTAAAACTATTTGAATGAGTCAAACACAGAGAATAGCGTTCTGGGCCCAAACTCTGTGTTTTAGACTTGAAACGCAGAGTTGGGCCTATTTCGGTGGCTGAGAATGCACAGGTCGCGCTGTATTTTGAATATGGACTGCAAGGCTGACCCTTGCGTTTTGAAGTTGGAACGCAACTCTTAAGTTTTGCGTCTCATTCTAGAACACATCTACGGGCTTTGCGTTTTGCTTCTGGGAGTTTTGAACGCGGCCACAAGCTATGCGTTTTGAATCTGGGATGCAGAGGTGAGCTCTGCGTCTGGATTTGAAGATACCGTTAATTTGTAATCTCTTTTGCTAGAGCGTTGCAAAGACCATCATCTTGTAATCTTCATCTTGGCTCTTTAAAAATATAAGAATCATTAGATTGTAACTCCCGATGTTGATTGTGAAGGCTGTTGATTAGAGCTTTCATCAGTTGTTATGAATGTCGTCAGATTGTAACCTTCATCGATCTACATGAAAGTCTTCAAATTATAGCCTTCTGGAAGTCGTCAGATTATAACATTTATCATTAATGTTTGATGGGGGATTAGCTATCTGCAGTGATTTTTAGACAACCTACACTTGTCTCTATGTGTTAGCTTCGTCCATGTGCTACCGGATTTTTAGCAAGTGCAATAGCTGACTTGTTATCGATGAGAGTCTCTGTCGGTGCTTCTTGTTGGTGTTGCAATTCCTCCATCAGACTCCTGAGCCATATTGCTTGACACGCACATGTCGATTCTGCTATGTATTCTACTTCGTAACTCGATAGAGCGACGACAGACTGCTTCTTTGATAACCATGAGAATGTTGCTGATCCGATATTGAACATGTAGCCAGATGTGCTCTTTCTTTCATCTAAATCTCCATCATAATCGCTGTCGGTGTAGCCAACTAATCTTGAATCTACACATTGTGTATAAAATAATCCTTGATCAATACTTCCTCAGACATACCTAAGAATTCTCTTGGCTGGCTTGAAATGTTCTTGCCCTGGCTCCTCCATGTATCTTTTCACCAGTCCTACCGCGAACACTATGTTGGGCCTAGTGATGATTAGGTAGCACAAGCTCCCGGCTAAGCTCTTGTATAGAGTTGGATCAATAAAGCTTCCTGGTGATTCTCGCCTTAGCTTCACTCCGACTTCTGCAGGAGTTGTGACCGAATTGCAGTTGCTCATGTTGAACTTTTGGAGGATCTCCTTTGCATATTTTTTCTGAGAGATGAAGATTTGTGACACTTCTACTCCAAGAAAGTATGACATTTCTCTAATGTCAGTTATCTCGAACTCCTTGATCATGTTCTTCTTAAACTCCTCGAACATTTTTGGATTGTTGCCGATGAAGATCATGTCATCCACGTAGAGATATACGATCATAATGTCTCCATCCTTCTTCTTGGTATAGAGAGAGTGCTCATACGGACTCTGTTGGAATCCGTTCTTCTGGAAGTATACATCGATTCTGGCACTCCATGCTCTGGGTGCTTACTTTAGTCCATGCATTACCTTCTTCAGCTTGTAGACCTTATTTTCTTGATTCTTCATCACGTACCCAAGTGGTTGCTCGATGTAGACTTCTTCTTCTAGATAGCCATAAAGAAAGACTGACTTTACGTCTATCTGATAGATCTTCCACCGGTTCTGTGCTGCCAATGCGATAATGAGTCGAATGGTATTGATCCTCGTGACTAGTGCGAACACTTCTTCATAGTCAACTCCTTCTCACTGACTATAGCCCTTTGCAACAAGCCGGGCCTTGTACTTCTTAATTTTATCGTCTTGATTTGTCTTTGTCTTGTAGACCCACTTTACTCTAATGGGTTTATGGCCTTCAGGTAAGGTGGTGAGCTCCCATGTGTCATTTCTCTTGATTGCCTCAATCTCATCATCCATAGCTTTTCTCCACTTGTCTTCTTGAGCAGCTTCTTCATAGCTGACCAGATCACATTCTACAAACAAGCAGAATAATGTGTAGTCATCCATCATCTCGACAGGTTCTGTATCATCATACAGATCTATTAGACTTCTCGTCCTCCTTGTTACTCCCCCTAAAGAGCTTCCTTCACTTGAGCTGGATGGTGATGATGTCAGTGTCGATGTTGAGGTTGATAAAGTTGGACTATTTAGTGGACTTTGTTCTGGTCTTCCAACCTCCTGTAAGTCATCATCATTATCTTCAAAGAACATACCTTTAATGTTTTGTCTTCATCAGTCCATTTCCAATAATCTTCTTCATCGAACTCCATGTCTCTTGAAATGATCATCTTCTTTGTAACTGGATTGTAGAGCTTGTATGCTTTTGTCCTCCTCTCGTACCCAACGAATTTGCACTTTTCTCCTTGATCGTCCAACTTCTTTCTTTTCTGATTCGGGATGTGTGCATATGCAATACACCCAAACAACTGTAGGCTGTTTAAAAATTACTGCAGATAGCTGATTCTCATCAAACACCAATAATGCAAGTTATAATTTGACGGCTTTCAGAAGACAATAATTTGAAGACTTTCACGTGGATCGATGAAGGTTACAATCTGACGACATTCGTAATAACTGATGAAAACTTTAATCAACAGCCTTCACAATCAGCATCGGGAGTTACAATCTGACAACTCTCACATTTTTAAGGAGCCAAGACGAAGATTATAAGATGACGATCTTTGCAACGCTCTAGCAAAAGAGACTACAAATCGACGGTCTCTTCAAACCAAAACGTAGATATCTCTCAAACCGTAAGGAATTTAGCAAAACTAACAGAGCAAACCTAACCTATGGGGTGGGTTTGGCCGGCTCCG